TTAATTACTAAAGTGACCACACTTATGATTTACATTCTAATGACAAAAATGTACCAAAAACACACATTTCTCTCTCCGAAAGACTCAGATATTTTAGGAAATTGTCTCTTTTGCCTTTAAACCGGATACTATTTGACTGGTTCATGGTACATGTARRCTTTTTTTTAAGAAAATTCTTGTTTGACACACTAAAACCARGCTTTCAATGAAACTTATTTCGTCTATTGATCTTTTCAATCATTGATACGTTTAAGCTTACAAACTCTTTGATGATCAAATTTTAAAGATTATTTCTATTTGGCTGTTTGTTGAAGTTTCTATTGTTTGCTTTAATTGAACTCCCGAGACATCGATTGTTGATTGCGTTTGAGGCGCAGTTGTGTTTACTTGGCATGGGGATTGTTATTATTGTTTTTTGACACTTGCCATGATTTTACATAGTTTTGGCTAGACTGGGATTTATCTCGATCGCCGGCGCTATCCAGAACCGAAGTTAAATTAATAACATATAACGAAAAAAAACTATATTCATAAATCAGATACTCAAAATTCTATCTGTCGAGTAATAATAATTTGATTCATCGTATCGTTCTTTATTCGTCTACRCAATCAATCTTCGAGCCATTGGCGGCTTGATTTTCCTTTATCTTTAGAATCTGTTGTTGATTTTGTTTTTGTTGTGGAGGGAATTGGAGATGGATCATCTATTATAACTGGTGGATTGCGCTTCATCTCATGCTTTCTCCTGCTTTTGCCATTGTATTTAAAAGATTCCTTACAGCCTGGAAATCTACATGGAAATCTCCCTTCAGGAGTTAGCTCCTGTTGGTTGATGATATTCTCCTTCTCTTGTTCAGTGTTTACTATTGTGTCAATAGAGGAACAATTATCAAAAACAATTACATCAATGACCTTTCCTGCTAATTGATGGAGACAATCAAGTTTCTCTGATTTGCTTAATTTCTCAATATYGGTGGGTAAGTGGAACTTTGTTGGTTTAGCAATTTTCCTTGTAAATCCTAGAACTTGCTTGGCTGCAACAATTATTCTTGATTCAAAAATAATAGATAGAAAGTCTCTGTCTGGTCGATAGGCTGACTTCACTTCTCCAGTTACATTCCGTCTGTTTATTAAGTTGCGATCAGAAAACAAGGTACAACTGTCTGTTGCTGATTTCCCACTAAAGAATCTTGCATATATTATCTGTGTAAAAACATGCACATATAAATGATTACAATAAATATATAAACTAAGCATGTTCAAAGGTAAAAGAAGGAGGGGCAATATTTGCAAATATTTATCACTGACATTTTAATATGAGACTGAAGTTGCATTATCAACTTCCCAATGGAAATTTTTGTAACCAAAAAATGCTTTTTTTTGGATTTCTATTTAGTTTAAATAAAATCACTTACACTGAGTAKTTTCACTGCAGCATGCCAGTCGCCTAACTGTAAATGAATTCCGTCTAGTCTATCTTTGGGAGTGTAGCCATTTGCCACAGAGGATATAATATTTACAGCTCTCTCTACAGTTAGTTGATCCCCAGAAAATATTTGGCCATCAACTCCATCATCGGTTTCTGGAAGATAGCTGTGAAATTGTTGTAGGATTTCTGTCATATCTTCATTGATATTTCCGTTCTTGAATATCAAGCCAAGAGGGATCTGATTAAAGAACATTGATCACACATTAATTCATTTATTGATACACTCAATTAATATTAGTTTTTACATTTTTTGAGTATTAATGGCCAAATAGTGCTAATTATTACTTTTTTTCTATGTGTTAATTCCATATCAGACTAAATAATATCACACCTTTTTGGACTGCTGAGATAGTTCACTGGAGTACTTATGGGGAATGTGCTGTATGCAGGCATCTTTCAAAGGTGCTAATACATCAAAGTAGTCAACCAAAATTCTAGAGCAAAGCACAATGTAGTTCAATCTCTGACATCTTTGATCTTCCATAGATGGAAGAAACTTCACATTACAAACATCAAACAACTCTTGCTTTGGAGCTGACACCTTTTCATTTGAACCAGACACTCTGTTTTCAACCAATGGTGTTATGGTTCACCCAATGAAAATCCTGGTTCTGAGCATCCATTGTCATGTTTCTTCTGTTTAAATTGATGTCAAGATTATCAAATGAAATGATAAATCCTGGATGTGCTGTATTTCTAAGCTTACATTTCTCTTCAATTACTGCCTGTATCTCAGACTGGCATCCAGCTTCACAATACGTTGAATGTTCAGTATGTTTTTGAACTAAATTCTTGTACTTCAATTCAGCACATTTCAACTGCTTGCTCTGTTTAGCAATCACTTTCTTGGCTTCTGTAAGGTCTGCATCATAGTCCTCTCCAAGTGCATTCATTGTCCTAAGGATACTGCAATTTCCATTTGTTACTTTCATCTYGCTGAATCTTGCAATGGCAGTCTGTAAGAAGTTTTACCATGAAGCTTCTATTCATGTATACACCAGATATTAATATAAGAGTATGATGTAATGTATCAATATCATCTTGTCATACAATACTCAATTACTGGTATTGGTACCCTTGAACAATGTCTATATATTTATATTAGGCATGAGTTCATTGGAGGAAAAATATTTTAAGGCAAACACAAATCGTACTTAAACTTTAAACACAAAAATTACATGTTACTTTTATATGCAGATGATGGTGGTTTCTGAGCCCTATACATTATTAATACATTSTGTTGTTACTTCCTGCATTTTTATATAACTTCCCTAATGATATAATCAAGATCATACCTCCACAGACTTTGTCTTGAGTAGGACTCCAAGTACACATGCAGTTGC